TTAGTATTATTATTATTATTATTATTATTATTAGTATTATTATTATTATTAGTATTATTATTATTATTATTATTATTATTATTATTATTATTATTATTATTAATGTAGGTGTTTTAACTTTTACACCTCCATCGACACAAATTAGATCAGTTTCAATCGGCTTCTACGGAGTAGAGGTTAGGCGCTCCATTGTCGCTTGCTGGCGGCGAGAGTTCGATGCCCAAGTGGAAAAAAAGTTTTTATCGAGTATCCCAGTCTTTCTGAAGGCACGTTGAATCCCTCTCAGCCCGGGTGGACTCCGGGTGGCGGGGTCGGAAGCCCGCCTCCTAAATGATAAAATTGCGTTGAAAGGGGCGTAAAAACACTCACGTTAACGAAAAAAAAACCCAATTACATCACGTCCCTCTTTCCCCTCTCCATGCTTTGAGATTTTTAAACTTTACAACTCCACTTTCAGCGTATTGTGTGGATGTGTGAACGACAAGAGAAGGTTATGGATGTTTCAGAGACTCACAGTAAGGTGGCCATGTGGATGTCACGCCGACTACAGCACGCTGACATATTGCCTCGAGCCCTGGTTCAAACTGTTTGACAGGAAGAAACGTGTTGAGGTTAGAAAGTAAGTATATTATTTGCAACTTGTAGGTTTTCAAATCGACGTATTATTAATAAAAATGTAGCGAGTTGGAGTGGGGAGAAAAAGAGGGAGAGAGAGCGAGAGAGAGAGAGAGAGAGAGAGAGAGAGAGAGAGAGAGAGAGAGAGAGAGAGAGAGACAGACAGACAGACAGACAGACAGACAGACAGACAGACAGACAGACAGACAGACAGACAGACAGACAGACAGACAGACAGACAGAAACTAGAAGCAGAGAGAGAGTGCCAGATCTGCGGCAAACATCGGCGATCACGGTTCTCCTTTTATTCCCTTGCCTGGATGCTCTTAAAAAGTTACGTTACCTTGATTTTTTATATTCCCCCTTACCCATTTGTTTAGGTTCTCTAAGTAGGTTGCTCTGGGCCCATCCCTGCCTCGTTAGCCTTTAATTTTGCCAGTAAGAGCTAGATGTTCAAGACTTTTATGTCTATTCAGCTTTCCTTACTTGTGCTTGTTGCACCCGTTTCTTTCGCAGCTAATTATGTTTCTTACTGTGTCGCGTATATATTATCCTGTGTCAAACCTCTTCTATTTAATCATATATTATCTAAACATAGATGATATTAGTAATTTAAGGGTTTATCCAGTTGGCAACTTTACACACTTTGATTTTTTTAGAATAAAGCAATATTATCTGCTTGTTTCAAAATATGCCCCACTTCCTTTCCTCTTCTAGTCAACATATAGACATCCTTTACTCTCCAAACTCTTTTCTTCAATAAGGAGAGAGAGAGAGAGAGAGAGAGAGAGAGAGAGAGAGAGAGAGAGAGAGAGAGAGAGAGAGAGAGAGAGAGAGAGAGGGGGGGGGGGGGTGAGGGGAGGGGGTTGGGGCTGAATGTACGCATGTGGGTGTCTATTTAAGCGGAAGGGGGCGAGAGCGATTACACATTACACTGTATTACCCTAGCAGCAGGTGCGACCCTTCTCTAATAATTTAAAACTAAAGAACATTGACGTAGTGGTGTGGCAGCTGGTAGTGTTACTTACATTTTCACTTAAACCCGCTTTCGTTTTCCTATTACCAATCTTTAATTGATAATAATGTTTGGGAAGAGAACAACACCTTTGACATAATTTATTTTCAGTCCAGTTATTTTCAGGTTTCGCCTGGCGGTGTTATCTTTTAGGTTAACTGTCTCGAAACTAAATATCAGAAGTGTGTCCATCATCATCATCATCATCATCATCATCATCATCATCATCATCATCATCATCATCGTTTTGACCATTCTTGTCGTCACCGTCCCTTGGCAATACCATCATCATCACCATCATCACCATCATTCTCCATCATCATCATCATCATCATTATCATCATCATCATAATCATCATCATAATCATCATCATAATCACCATCATCATCATCATCATCGTTGTCATCTTAGCCTCCACCACAACCACCACCACCACCACCACAATCACAACCACGACCACCACCACCACAACCAACATCACCACCACCATCACCACCACCATAACCACCATCACCACCACAACCATCACCACCATCATCACCACAATCTCACACTTTAAATACATCCTCAAACACATCACACATCTAGAGTAGAATCATCCTCAGTTTGCCCATTGCCCTTAACCTTTCCAGATTCCATTACGTCACCGTTCTGAGAGACCCTACAAGGCGCTTCCTGAGCGAGTGGAGACACGTCCAAAGAGGAGCCGAGTGGAAGGAGTTTCTGGTCTGTGACGGACACCGCAACCGTCCACGAATTTGCTATCGTGGCGAAAACTGGGCGAATGTTACCCTCTCGGAGTTTATGTCTTGCGAGTAAGTCGTTTTCTCGAGTCAGAAAAAAAAACCTTTCAAGGAAGTTTTGTGGATTTGAATATTACAGCGTGTACTACTACTACTACTACTACTACTACTACTACTACTACTACTACTACTACTACTACTACTACTACTACTACTACTACTACTACTACTACTACTACTACTACTAATCATCATCATCATCATCATCATCATCATCATCATCATCATCATCATCATCATCATCATCATCATTATAATAATAATTATAATAATAATTATAATAATCATAATCATAATCATAATATTAATAATTATCATAATAACAACAATAATAATAATCTCTTTTATACCGCCCACTCCCCGATAGCTATTGACACTTCACAATACATTTTTTTTGGATAGCTTACACAATGGCAAGTTTCAAACGTACAGGTCCGTTCACTGTACAGCAATACTTCCAAACAATATTATGCACTCGTAATATACCAAACTTGACCCCATCCCCCCCCCCCCCCAAAAAAAAATAACTCGACGTACACAAAATAGCAATCACTCATGTTGCTGGTGCGTATGGTTCTTGGGACTGGCAAGAAATGGCTGTACGGGAATTCGAGTCGAAGGCACTAGGAAAACAGTTTAGAAGTATTATTAGAATATTCGAATTGTATTGTATTGCTATCGCCCAAAAAATGTAGAAGTATTAATCGATTAATCGAATATTGTATGATTATCGCCTACGTGATTTGTCTGAGTTGTAGAAGCACATCAATACCCAAACGGCCGGGGGGTGGGGGTGAGGGTAGAAAGAAAGAAAGAAAGAAAGACAGACAGACAGACAGACAGACAGACAGACAGACAGACAGACAGACAGACAGACAGATAGATAGATAGATAGATAGATAGATAGATAGATAGATAGATAGATAGATAGATAGATAGATAGATAGATAGATAGATAGGCAGGCAGGCAGGCAGGCAGGCAGGCAGGCAGATAGACATATACACAAGCAGAGGAGCAGATAGATAGATAGATATATAGACAGACAGACAAACAGACACACATACAGACAGACAAACAGACAAGCAGACAGAACAGAGCTAGTGGAATGGGAAAAAAGGTAATGAAATAAAACCTCGAACCAATGCTCACTCCTTTATCTTTCCCCTGAATAAATCAATAACCGGTTGTATTTTTTAAGTTATTTGTGCTGTATTCATAAGCTTGACAAGCAAGTTGCAGGGCTTTTGTTACATCTGCGTCTGAAACGTAATCGACCAAATTCTTGTTTTTTGTATTTTACTGGGATGGGCGGGTCGTAGATAAAGAAGATAAGCTGACTGCACTCCTTAAGGGTTTGCCTGTGATGACGATATAGAACATTGTCATATATAATTGGTCGCTTTTAAGCTCAAGAGGACTATCCCGAAAATTCTGCTTTGAGAAAATCGAAGGTAAAGTTTTTGAACCCATGAAATCTTATCTTAAAAGACAAAGAGAGTTTTTTTTTCTACAACCAAACAAATATACACACCAATGAAACCAAATTTCTCCTATAGGTAGGGCAATGCCCACTTTTGGTGTAGATCAATATTTCTGGAAACCCCCGAAATCTGGGTTAGCCCGCTTGTCTTTCAAAGCGACCAATAAAACAGTGACAATATGTTTTAGTTTTATTTGTGTATACTCATATCTATCTATCTATCTATCTATATATATATATATCTATATATATATATATATATATATATATATATATATATATATATATATATATATAGATAGATAGATAGATAGATAGATAGATAGATAGATAGATAGATAGATATATATGTTTTATTTATACATATAATACATTATATTATCATATATCATAGGATTTAGACATATTGTATACTAGAGATATTATCTTATATTACATTATATTATATTATATTATAGTATCATATCGAATTTATAATGTATTATATTATCATATATTATATGACATGTGTCCCGGCGGGCACAGCCGACTTTGCTTCTATGTCACCCCTAGAGGT